CCCCGCGGGTGGTTTCGGTGCCTGGTGGCTGGGTTGTGTGTTGGCAGGAAGGAGGAAAGGAGACAGCTGCTTCGGGAAGGAACTTACTCCCGTAGGATACAGCTGTGGATAATGTCACGGGACTTGCAGGGAAGCAGAGCAGAGCCCCTGCTGGGTTTGGGCACTGACAGTGCTGCTGCTCGCGCTTGCAGCCGTCTGTGCAAGGTCCCCTCGGAGCCGCTCACCCCTCTGCCGGGCTTCTCCTTGGGATGAGCAGACAAATTTCTTTGTTTCATTTAATTTCTTCTTAACGGTAATGAATGGGGGGAAGGAGTGTTTTTAAGAGAGGTTATATACAACATACCCTTCCTGTGAAAGCCCTTTCGAGGGAGGTGATCCTGCCCCTCTACTCAGCCCTGGTGAGGCCGCATCTGGAGTATTGTGTCCAGTTCTGGGCTCCACAGTATAAGAGGGATGTGGAGCTGCTGGAGAGAGTCCAGTGCAGGGCTACAAGGATGATCAGGGGCCTGGGACATCTGCCCTATGAGGAGAGGCTGGGGGAGCTGGGCCTGTTCAGCCTGGAGAAGAGAAGGCTGAGAGGGGATCTAATCAGTGTATATAAATACCTCAAGGGAGGGAGTGCAGAGGACGGTGCTGGTCTCTTTTCAGTGGTGGCCACTGATAGGACTAGAGGAAATGGCCGGAAACTGAAGCACCAAAAATTCCATAGGAACTTAAGGAAAAATTTCTTAACTGTGAGGGTGACAGAGCACTGGAACAGGCTGCCCAGAGAGGTTATGGAGTCTCCTTCTCTGGAGATCTTCAAAACCCACTTGGATGCAGTCCTGTGCCACGTGCTTTAGGTGACCTTGTGTGTGCAGGGGGTTGGACTAGATGATCTCTGGAGGTCCCTTCCAACCCTAAGCATTCTATGATTCTATGATCTGGTAATGAAAAGAGGGTAAAGGAGAAGAGAACTAGAAGGTTTCAAGAGCCCAGGGATACAAGTGGAGACCTTTGTGTGATGTGTGTCCCATTAAAGCAGCACGCTTGGATGTGGACAACGCAGACTGTGCCTAAAGGCAGAGGTGGGACTTATTTGTTTGGGCACAGGTGGGACACTGGGATGAACTCATTTGTTTGGGCACAGGTGGGACACCTGGGATGCCCTGGTGAACTTGCCCAGCAGCACTCCAAAAGGACATGGCTTTCCTGGGCGTGCCAGGCTCTATGTGCTAGAAACATGCAGTTGTGCAGGATGCCCCAGGCATCTGACATGGCCCTTCAGGTCTATTTTTATGTCATTAGATGAAGAGTCTGAGGGGATGGCATTATGATTTTGCATCGTAGGGACCTACTTGTATCCTAGCTTCATAGTGAGCGCTGCTTTAGCAGAATGGGTCATCTGGGGTATCCTGCACAACATGTCTCTAGCAGATACAGCATCGGACCTTTAGGAAAGCCATGTCCCTTTGGAGTGGTTGCTGGTGGGAGACCTACAGTGACTCAGGTTTCTTCCGAGTTACCCAATCAGCTTGATGCCATCACTGCCTAAGGCCAAGTCCTCCTTATCTCCAGCCAAGCATGCTTCATAAATGGGAGAGCCACATCACACCAAGGTCTCTGCTCTAGTTGCTGCACCCTTAAACTCTTGTAGCTCTCCCTCTCTAGAGACTCTTCCCACCCTTAGATGAGGGAAATGTGCTAATGATGACCTCAGCGTGGCAAATGACAGGCTGTCCAGGTCCAGGCACTTCTTGAGTGGCACTTTGTCCTTCTTGGAGAGGGATTCACCTCTGTCCCAGGCCCAAGTTGCCATTAATTACCCCTAGGAGGCAAATCCCTCTCTTGTTTCTCCCTGCCCCTGGACATTACAGCTTGTGCTCTTTTTGTGGGAAACTCCTTTCAGCATAACCCTGACAAATGCTATCTACACAAGCATGTCACTGCTGCCAAGTGGGACCATTGCTCACACGATGTCCTTGGCTCTTGGTAACAGGTTGCACCATTGC